AAAGTTTATCAATACAAGGGCAGAAGGGTGTGAGACGTGTGAATCATCAGTAAAGGTGATCTCTAAAAGTTGTTATGCCAGTAGGATTCAGTTAGAGGAAAGATACGTGGCAGTAGAGTACATGGCAGAAATATGGGTAAAGTTCACTAGTATATTAAGGCAGTTAGAATAAGGAATAGGGATATCATATTTTCTCTGAAAGGTTGTCAATGGAGGCCCCTAGCTCCTCGAATTGCTAGGACTGTCCCTTCGAAATCCACTTCTGCTGTTCGGGAGTCTTTACTCGCTGGTCAGTCAAGAACTTAAGGCTACGCTGATCCGTCCAAATAATGAACTTGCACCCAATGAGGTAGTGACTCCATTTATGGACAGCGAACACTATAGCCATGAGTTCCCGTTCATACACCGATTTCTGCTTTGATTGACAAGAAAAAGCTTTACTAAGAAAGGCAATTGGGCGTGATTTTTGGACCAAAACAGCCCCCATTCCTTGCCCCGAGGCATCGGTATGTACTTCGAAGGGTAAATCAAAGTCAGGCATGGCTAGCACCAATACTGTTGTCATTGAGTTGTTATGCCAGTAGGATTCAGTTACAGGAAAGATACGTGGCAGTAGAGTACGTGGCAGGAATACGGGTAAAGTTCACTAGTGTATTAAGGCAGTTAGAATAAGGAATAGGGATATCATATTTTCTCTGAAAGGTTGTCAATGGAGGCCCCTAGCTCCTCGAATTGCTAGGACTGTCCCTTCTTGTTTTCTTTACTTTTGGTTGAGTCTGATTGTAATCCTCAGAACTGTTCAATCTTCAATCAAAATATTGTTGGATTACCTAGTTGTTCTTGATTTTGTGGATGTGCTGTGTGTGAATTTTTATTGAATTTGCTAGGGTCCCATCAGAAGCAAACAAAGATGTTCATCCAACTACATGAAGCATAAAAAATAACAGTACAATAGGATCATATGAACAATTCCTTAAGGTTATATTTTGTTTAAGGAATGTAATACATTGGATTTGGGAGTTTGAAGGACCTTTCAGCCACAAACAAACCTACTAAGTCACTCCACTGATCTCCAGAGCTCCCATGAATTTTATAACCTTCCTTCACCAACTCTGATCGCTTCTCAGAATTGTAAAGATTGGTCGGCTTGCCTTGATCTGAAATTCCCCTGTATCATTTACAAAAGAGTTTAATTTGTTAGCCTTGATGTTCAACCAAAGGCCAACGATTTGGGTAATTAAGATTATGATAGGAACCCACTGCAACCTTTCAAACAAGCAGCCAACAACAACCAAAACAAGCAATAACCCAGAAAAACAGCAAGAAGTCTAGGGGTGAGCACGGGTAGCGGGTAGAACCGGAACCGGAACCGGAACCAGAACCTACCCAGAACCTGCACTGTGCGGGTAGGTTCCGGTTCCAATTTTTTGGAATCGCTACTGTGCGGTTCCGGTTCCGGTTCTTGCATGTGGAGGAATCGGAACCTGTAAAAAGGGTACCTTGTTTGGAACCTGTAGGGGGTACCCGGTTTGGAACCTGTTTTGGAACCTGTTTGGAACCTGTTTTGGAACCTGTTTGGAACCTGTTTGGAACCTATTTTGGAACCTGTTTGGAACCTGTTTTTGGAACCTGTTTTAGAACCTGTTTGGAACCTGTTTTGGAACCTGTTTTGGAACCTGCTTTGAACCTGTTTTGAAACCTGTTTTGGAACCTGTTTGGAACCTGTTTTGGAACCTGTTTTTGGAACCTGTTTAGAACCTATTTTGGAACCTGGACTATAATGAAATATTTGTGAAATGTAAATAATGGGGGACTTTCTATTATTTTACATATAAAAAAATTTAAAATAGAAAAAGTTAAATTTTTAGAATAACCTAATTAAATAAATATACGAATATAATTATACTTATTACATATAAATTACACCATATTAAAAGCTTTAATATATTATAATACATNAACAACAACCAAAACACTACACCAAGTATGAACAGCCGCAACAACAACCAAAACAAGCAATAACCCAGAAAAACAGCAAGAACGTAATGAATTGCATTCTGTTCATACTTGGAGAACCAGAGACGAGAGCGATGACAGCGCTCGACTCTCTATGATTTCAGTGGTTAGGGTTAGGGTTTGGTTTGTCAACGGGGAGAAGAGCGCGAAAGAGCGCGATGGAGATGAAGAGCTGATAGGAAAATTGACCGAATGAGATGAAGAGCTGATAGGAGAACAGAGCAATGGAGAAGAGAGATGGAGATGAAAAGAGCGATGGAGAACCAGAGACGAAAGCGAAAGAGAAAGCGACGGAGAAGAAGATTGAAATATTGAAATATTGAAATGATAAAGTAAATAAAAAAACAGAGAAGGAGAAATAAAAAATAAATATTTAATGATGACGTGGCAAGTGATGACGTGTCAGATGATGTGACATTGCCACGTAACCTACCACGTGTAAAACCTACTTTGTATTGACTTTGTAAGAATAGTGTTATTGTTACTCTAAAAATAAAGGTGTCTTGAAAATTGACCCAAACCATAGAGTCTAATTATAATTAGGGTAATGCTATGCGTACTATCGGATTTTACGAATCAGCGTACTAACTTAAAGCATAGTATGGGTACTATGCGCATAGTACGGATACTATGTGTGATTTTAACAAAGATTAGTACACTGATTAGTAAAATCCATTAGTACGCAAAGTATTATTCATCTTACAATCCTGGAAAATATAATGGCATAGTACGGGTACCAGACGTATAGTACCCGTACTATACCGTATCAGGATAGTAAGATGGTTAGTAAGATTGTGAGTAAGCATAGTTTTATTGAAATTGCTTTGCAGCTCAATAGATAATGTCAGAAGAATATTCCTCTCCAGAAACAAGAAATAATTTTAATTAGAGTAATGATATGCTTACCCACAATCTTACAAACCTCTTACTATCCTGTACAAATATAACGTCATAGTACGGGTATGATGCATATAGTATCCGTATTATGTCGTTATATTTTCACAAGATAGTAAAAGGTTAGTAAGATTGTGAGTAAGCATAGTTTTATTGTTTTAATTATAAAGAAATAGATTTTAATTTTATTTTAAAATTATACTTTTTCTAATATTTTTTTTATTTGTCAAACTGTTTTTCTTCTGAAATATTTTATCCAACCTCCATTTTGTTATATGTATTATGAGTTTTTATAACTTTTCTAAAGCGCAAGTATATTGGATTAAAATTTTATTCATTTCCCAAAAAAGAAAAAAAGAAAAAAGGAAAAAAATTAAAGAAGGAAATGTTTTTGAACAAATATATTGTTTATTAATCATGATTAAATAAATAAGAAATGTAAAGGATAAAGAAAGAAGATAAATTAAAAAGATTAGGAAACTAGAGAGGTTAAAAATAAAAGNTTATATTTGGTATATTATAAATACCCAATTGACCAATTATAACATTAATTAATAAATTAATAAATATTAATAATTTATTTTATGTGAATTGTGATGAATAATTGTTTGTGTTTTGGTTTTGATTGACGAATTTTATGTGAATTGTGATGAATTGATTGAATTCAAGTGTTGCTTAAAGATTACAGGTTATGAGTTACATTGGACACAAATGAATGAATAATGAAAATTTATTAGGGGTGTATTTGTAAACTTATAAGGTATTTTTGTTATTTTTTAAACTAATAGAAGGGTAATTGATTTTTTACAGGATACCCTGGAAAGGAACCGGAACCTGCATTTTAGGTTCCGGTTCCTTGAATTGAAGAACCTGCATTGTGCGGTTCCGATTCCGGTTCCTTTTTGTGGGAACCTGCACTGTGCAGTTCCGGTTCCGATTCCCCTGGAAAATGCAGGGTACCCGGAACCGCTCACCCCTAGCAAGAACATAGCAGCCAATCAGGAAAACAGAAAATATCATATATTGATATGGATCAAACACTACACCAAGTATGAACAGCCGAAGCTAATCTACACAGCCAAATGAAAACAGGGATAATAGAACAATGAAATTAAAATAAAGGGGATTTGCCTAAAGTTAATACCATTATAAATGATAAAATCAAAGAACAAAGAAAAAAACTGACAACAAAAAAGATGATACCATTTACAATATACATAGTAGATCCCGGCAAACATAGATGATACCATTTAAGAAACAGTGTCAAATGGTAACAGTATCATGCAATTCATTAAGATGCAACGAAAAAAAATTAAGAGCACCGATTAGAATAATGAACGCAATGAATGAATCTTAATAATGACTGAAATAAGGCTGAAGTAAAAATAATGCACATAAGTACATAAATATGACACTGATAGTAAGATAATTGAGAACAAAACAGAGCACTTTCCACAAACAATTAGAATCAAGGTCAACATAAATTCAATTGCAAGAGGACTTGAGATCCGTAGTGAGAGACTCACACTGCTCCAGCGAAGAGCTATGGCGGAGGTAGCGACGGAATTTCGGAAAATCCACAGCGGTCACTCTATTCACTTCTCTCTTTTGGTTCATCCGTGAGATTTCATAAGCTTTGAAATGACAGGGCTGGACTCTCTATGATTTCAATGGTTAGGGTTAGGGTTTGGTTTGTCATCGGGGAGAAGAGCGCGATGAAGATGAAGAGCTGATAGGAAAACTAAGCGAATGAGATGAAGAGCTGATAGGAGATTAGAGCAATGGAGAAGAGAGATGGAGATGGAGATGAAGACAGCGATGGAGAACTAGAGAAGAGAGCGAAAGAGAGTGAAGGAGAAGAAGATTGAAAAACTGAAAATTGAAATGATAAAGTAAATAAAAAAAATGGAGAAGAAGAAATAAAAAATAAATATTTAATAATGACATGACAAATGATGACGTGTCAAATGATGTGGTATTGCCACGTCACTTTGTAAAGCCTTCTTTGTATTTATAAGAGTAGTGTTATTGTTAAAAATTAAGCAATTACTAGTCTTCTTATGTGACGTTCTCTTTACTTCCATGGTAGATTTCACTTTTTTGAGATTCCATTATTAGCTCTCTTTTCTTCTATTTTGATTCTTCAAGTTCTTCCAAATGTGCTCAATTGGATCAATTTGGTGCCTGCGTAAATGCAATTGTGGAGGGCTCAGGGCTACCATGGATTTGGGTGGTAGATTTGGTGGTTGTATTATTAGGGGTTGCCATCGTTTTGGATGGGTAGATTTGGTGCTCGTGTTGTTCGGGGCAGCAAATGTCGGGGCGGTCAACGAATAAACATGTGGTTCTGTATAAGCTTGTAAGTGTTTTATAATTCGGAATCAGATCTTCACATTCTTGCTGTTACTTGAATTGAAGGATTCGTTTTTAACAAGCAGCTTTATGTTTCATATTTGTAACAATAAATTATTGGTCATAGTTTGACATGGATGCCGGATGGGAGAAACAACTATTCCATAAGAAATTGGATATGTCTTCGCTATTGTTTGCTCGGGAGAATGAAAATTCATGTCATTGTATTTGTCATGAAATATGGGTATATTCTGTTTCCTTTTGTTTTATGAAAATGAGGCTGAAAAGTAAACTGAATGTTTTTTCCTCTCCCTTTCTATTTGATATAATAGATTATAGTTCAATTTGTTGTCTTCTTTTGACAGGTGAGCTGCCATGTGAGTCCTCCTCTGTTGACATTGCCATATCTATCAGTGGTTCACTTGAATTTCCTGGTGATCAGTTCTTTGGCGAAATTTCAAGAGTTCTGAAGCCTGGTGGAACAATTCTTCTTTACAAGAATTTCAATTCTGATAAAGGGCATGCCGATAAGGTATATGTTGTGCACTTTGTTATTTCTTTGTAGGTTGCTTTTATTAATATATCTCATAATGGTTTTCATTGAAGGCAATCTCGGCTATTGAGCGCAAGTTAATGTTTGCCGGATTTCTAGAAGCATGTCGTCTTGAACTAAAATCAGATGTTGCAACTGAAGATGTTCACTTTTTTGGGGTGAGTTTCTATTCTTACACTAGGCTGAGTACGTAGATTATTTTTTCAAATGTTCATTTTACAGATACATTAGTTGAATTTATATTAACTTATTCTAGGTGAAGGGTAAGAAGCCTTCCTGGAAACTTAGGTCTTCCTTTGCTTTGAAGAAGGCCCCTAAAAGTTTATTGAAAGTAAAGTTGGATGATGATTGTGATGTGATTGATGAAGATTCTCTCTTAACTGAAGAGGACTTGAAGAAACCAAAGTTATCACCTGGTAAGATGGCTCAATTCCTAACTCCTTGTTTTTGTGAACTTTCTTACAATGTAGTAGTTTCTATGGATTATCTGCACCTTGCGCTAAACAAAAAGTCTGTGCAGTTGGTGATTGTGAAGTTGGAAGCACAAGGAAAGCTTGCAAAAACTGCACTTGTGGAAGGGCTGAGGCAGAGGAGAAAGTACAGAAGTTAGGACTGACCATGAATCAGCTGAACAATCCTCAATCAGCATGTGGAAGTGTATGCCTTCTTGTAAACTTATGTTTTGAGAACTGACTATCCTGGTCTCCCTTGGTTCTTAGATTTAAGAGTATTCAAGTATATATATGCTATCAGTACAAGTGTCTTACCTATATTTTTTGAAAACAAGGAATAAAGTAAGATACTTCAACTAGTTTCTGAAGGAGCCTATTACTTTTCTGATGGACTCAACATAATGAGTCTTGTATGATATCCTTCATAATATAAAACTTGATCATATGTGCCCAAATAAAGCAAGGATTTAGGCTTGTATGCTTTTTAGGGTCTCACTTGGTGATTTATTATGCAAAAGAAGTGAGTTAAAAATACTAGTTATGAGGTTATTTTTATCTGTATTGTTTTGTGGAAGTGTAGTATTATCATAAGGCGATTTTTTTTTTTCCCTTCTGATGCAGAGAGCATTTGAAAGTATCAACATACCAAATTTCTGATCATGCTTTATTTTCCACATCAAATTTCTCTTTTCTTTCTCAGAGACTAATTATATACTTTACAGTGTGGATTAGGGGATGCTTTTAGATGCAACACATGCCCTTACAAGGGTCTTCCACCATTCAAACTGGGAGAGAAGGTATGGAAAATATTAAAGTGCTCTGTTTTCTCCTGCTTGTTTAATGAAAATTTGAATTGCAATGAAATGGGAGTTGATATATTAATGCAGGTATCACTCTCTAACAACTTTCTTGCGGCAGACATTTAAATATGAAGTTGCAGGTAGTGTTTTGCATCTTGTGCATCTGGGTTACGCGTCCTTAAAAATAGGCAAAGCTAATGTAATGTAGTAATTTTGAGTTTTTTTTTTTTTTTTTTTTTTTAATTATTGCAGTTGTAGCAAGTTCGTTCTCTGTCAGCATCAAATTCTAGTATGTGTCTTGTTTGCTGTTTGATTGTAGCTTTCAACATAAAAATATTAGTCGAAGTAGATTTTTTTTTATTTTTTTATTTATTTTTTTTATGGTACTTGCCTTTCACTTATAAATACTAGAGAATATGGCTTATACAAGTAGGAGAAACTATTATTTCTCAGTACAGAAAGAGTGTTACTAATTCACAGATGTTAAAAAAAAATGGACGGCAATTGGTGACTGTTGCAGTTCATCTTGTTTAATTTTTTTTTTTTAAATTATTAAGTTAACTTATTTGATTAATATAACGTTTTTTTAGAAATAATCTAGGGTCTATTTGTTTTATTATTTTGGATATGATTTTAGGAATAATATTAGATATTTGAGTAGGGTTATTATTACGAGAATAAGATTTGAATAATATGGTTTCGTTTGGCTCAAGTTTGGGAATACTACTTTTAGTATTTTCAATAAAGTTAAACAGTAAAATGCCCAAAAACTCACAATATTATCCAATATTATTCAACTTTTTTTAAACCTCCTAAATTTGTTTATTTAATTTAATTAAATACCCCTAAATATTTATTTTCGAAATTGTAAAAACACCCCTAAACCCACATTATACCAGATTTCGGCCACCACTGCTGGAAGTTGGCCGGAATCTGGTAGGATGGCACACTACCGGTTGGATCTTGCCTGTAGTGCGTCGATCTAGCCTTTTCCGGCCAGATCTAAGGCCAAAGATCTGGTCGTTGATGGCCAGATCTAAGGCCAAAGATCTGGCCGTTGATGGCTAGATCTTTGGCCGTAACCAGACGTCAACGACGACCAACATATGGTCGTCGTTGACTATCAACGACAGCCGTATCTTTGGCCGTCATTGACGAAGATCTACAGCCAAATCTGGCTATCAATGGCCAGATCTAGCCGTAGATTTGGCCTTTGCCAGCCAGATTCACTATGAATCTGGCCGAAAAAGGCCATATCGGCGCACGACCGGCAAGATCCAATCGGTCATGCGTCGATACGACTACTCCGGCCACCCTCCGACGGTGGTGGCCGGCTGTCCGTATTTGATGGGTGAGTTGGGGGTGTTTTTGTTAACTTTTAATGTTTTATTATATGAGGTATTCTGTAAAAAAACAAACATAAGGGGTATTTTATTAATTTATAAATCCTACATTGTAATACCCGCCCAATTCAACTTTTTTTTAATTTTTTTCAAAAAACTTTTACCAAAAACGTAAAAATGTGAACCAAACGGAGCCTATGTGTTTGGTAGAGTATTTTTACCTTGATATTTATGTTGAATATTTGATTGATATATTTTTTTTTTTATAAATGATTTATTAATATAATATTTTCGTGTATTTTGTTAAAATAATGTATTATTATAACTTTAAAACTTATCAATTTACATTTTAATAATATTAAACATTTTATTGGTAATTTTGTAATCAGTAAATATTAAAAATCAATAACCCATATTAATTTCAAGTACTAATCCAACTGTTTAAAAACATCACATTAATACATATATGACAAAAGTACTAATTATCAACTCTTACAATCGTTCTTACACGTATACTCCATTAACAACTATGACATGGTACACTGTACTGCCCACAATGCATTCGTTATGTTATCTCGTACAGTCGTCATGTTGTATATAATACCTTGCCGCGGTTGACTCAGTCCTTCTCCATTTCGGCCATCTTCTACCCCGTTTTGGCGATCCCAATATACTTGGTCATTACCCGTATTATTATTGGTCTGTTCGAAGATAGGGTCCTCCATATTGTACATTCTGATAGAATTATGAAGTACACAACATGCCATAACAATCTTCCCTTGTTTGTCCAATGGGTAATTGTTCATTCCATTCAGAATACGGAACCATCTTTTTAAAACACCAAAGGTTCTCTCGACAACATTGTGGAGTGAAGCATGTCTGTAGTTAAACAACTCTTGTGGCCCCCTTCAGTTACGGCGGTGATCATAAATATCGTAAGCCACTCGCCTATGAGGGGTGAGGAACCCCTGTCTATTTAGAAAACACGCATCAACCAAATATTATTTCCCTGTAATAAAATCAAACATGTTATTTGAATTACAGGGCATCGACAGTGGAGCAAATACACTATAATACGTCAAGAAAATATTTATACCTAGTGCAGGATGTGGGAATCCAGAATTAGGATCATCAAGAATTGAATTTAAAACTTTTGAATCATACGTATATCCTTCCCATCTAGTAACGATATAAATGAATATCATCCTAAAGTCGCATACAACCATTACATTCTGTGACAACGTTCCTTTGTGATTCCGGTACCTATCGGCAAATTCATGTGGAACCGAAGCGTATACATGTGTGCCATCAATGGCTCCAATACAGTCCTAGCATCAAAATAGAATTTTACTCATATTAACCGACTATCAACATTAATAACACAATGAACTTAACCATCCACTAATAGAAAACATAATGAACCAGTACATTAAAGAAATTGTAATATTTTTGGTTGGCTGATATTTCCCATGGAACATCACTGAAGTTAGGTGGTCTGATAAACTCTGTCTTCAACTCACATATCGCCTCTCAAACTGCGCCAACATATCTAGAGATTGTCTCACCCGAATGTTGGAAATCCTCCATCATCGTTCTAATTGTCTCATTTTTACCAACGATTGTTAGAAATATCATAACTTGTTCTTCCACACTACTCTTCCTGGTTGGTCGCAATTTGCCTTGCTTTGACAAAATTTCACATAAGTATGTGAAACAGTCTTTGTCCATGTGACACTTGTCAAAGATCTTGTCAGCATAACCATTGAGTACTTCCAACATGTACTTATGACCAATTAATATGGATATATGTCATAGTTGACGCCCAGTTGTTTCTAACGCGGTAACACCGTAGAGTGCAATGGCTATATCTATCAGTATTTCTTCTTCGTCATCTGTAGAACGTCGTCTTTTTCCTATACGGCTAGACGACGCCATTTAAACATGCACATTTGCAAAACATTGATCAACAATTAAGAGTTGTTGTACTACTTAGCAAAATATAACAGTCAATATTTAATTCTAATGACAATCCAAAATCATATGAAACATGTAATCTCACATAAAACAATAGGACAATTAATAAGTTCATACAGTAGCACACATTTGGGGACATTTATTATTCAAGGTGCTGAATAGAAGTCTGGTTTAGCCATAAAAGGACAAGTGCCCATTGACGCATACAAAAGTGTTGGCAAACACTTAGGACATACAGTGTCATCTACAAATTACAAATTGCAAAAGTCGTTATAAATCCAATTAGCCTTTTCCTCGGGTGGGAGCTTCACAAATATCTCCCGCCACCTTAGATTTTCATATAAGTACTTTACAAGCTGCATGTAAAACTCTGTGGGTACTTGCATGGCCGTCATATGTCAATACAATTGCTCATGGAAAACAGATCAGATGGACCACTAGTGTTCTCTTCGTCCCTCTCATCTCTACTGAAATTGCTAGCCCTCGATCCCATACTTCGCTTCTCTACAAGCTCGTTCGTCAATCTACCAATGACATTCACAAGTGATTGTCCCGAGTCGCTTCTGTTCCTCCTATTTCTCGCTCTTCCATGGCCAGATGTGTTAAGCTAGTGGATTTTGCTGATAATGCAAAATAATTATATATTAATATTGGGCAGTTCAAAAAAAAAATGCTTACAAATACGGTGTCATTGATTAATAGTAGTTAAAAAAGTTAAAAATTTGCCTTGACATATTCTTGCCAAACCTCTATAGGACACGTTGGACTTTGCAACTCATGATCCCAACCAAAGCCCGTGTGTTACAGCAATTTCTGCCATGCTTGATATACTCTTTGCAGGCGAAAGTACTTAGAGGTTAGTTGTGTGACGTTGAGTCTCCTCCCAGCCAATGCTGATAAGTCATCCAACATTTCCTGGTATTCTACTGTTTTGCAACTCATGATCCCAGCCGAAGCCCGTGTGTTATAGCAATTTCTGCCATGCTTGATATACTATTTGCAGGCGAAAGTACTTAGAGGTTAGTTGTGTGATGTTGAGTCTCCTCCCAGCCAATGCTGATAAGTCATCCAACATTTCCTGGTATTCTACTGTTTTGATTGAAGTATCGTGCTAAGTTTTCGCTTGCTCAGATAACAGGATTAGAAATTTGTGGGTCATCTCAGCAGACCAGTTCACAGTATCACTCATCTAATCACAGTACAGTGAGAACGATAACCAAAATTGGGACACCATACCAATCACCAAACACATTACAAACAACATACGCACATTTAAACCTAATAAAGTAAACACAGATAAAGCGTTACCTCGTTCGATTCGACACTGCTTGAAGTCATCACTATAGGGGAAGATACAGACAATGTTGACCAACAAGGTGTATGACAAACTCCAAGTCTGGAAAAACGTCGAAACTTTTGCCTCTGTTGCAAGTAGTAATCAATCCTGCGACGTCGAGACAAATTATACTGACATCTGTGCACATGATCGTAATTTGTTCGTACAATCAAATAACGATGCTGAATCTACAAAACAAATATATCAATTAGAAAAATCCCAAAAAAATGTTTCCACTAATTCAACAATTTTTTACCCCCAAAATTCATCCATTACCGATATATTCTTTTTATTGTTTGTCCCTTTCACGATTTACCGATATATTCTTTTTATTGACATGTTAAAAATAATACCAACAAAAAAAACTTTTTTTTTTAACTTTTTTTAGCTTTATATATTTACATATATGGATGGAAATTGTCAAAGCAAATAGGCCATCACATTTGCATGGTGATGGGTGGTTGGATTTCTTCGTGGGAGTCGGTTCATGTTGAGGCAACGACGGTGGGCGTTCGTGGCAGATTGGTGACGGTGGGCTTCGCTTCGTGGCAGATCGGCAACGACGGGGATTTTAACGGCAAATCGAAGATGACGCGAGGTCTTCGTGGTAGATCGACGACAACGAGAGATCTACACAACAGATCGGCGATGACAGAAGGTCTTCGTGGCAGATCGGCAACGACGGGAGATCTTCACGGCAGATCGGCGACGACAAGAGATCTTTGTGGCAGAAAAAACAATGATCGGTGTGGTTCCTGGCAGAAAACATACGACGGTGGTGGTTCGTGGCAGAAAACACAACGACGGTTGTGGTTCTAAGGTGGCAGACAATGTGAGGTGGTTTTGTGTTGTTGGAATTGAGAGGAAGATGGTTTCTCAGGTTTTGTGTTGTTGGAATTGAGAGGAAGATGGTTTCTCAGGCTGGGTTTTGTTTTGTGATGATAAAAGTAGATGGTGATGGGTGGTGGCTGTGCGTTTCTGTTGTGAAGATGGTGGAATAATGTGTTTGGGTGGTATTTGCAGGTGGAAGATTGTATTTGTAGGTGGAAGATGGTTTGCAGGTGGAAGGTTGGACAATGTGAGATGGTTTTGTGTTGTTGGAATTGAGAGGAAGATGGTTTCTCACGGTGGATTTGGGAAAGAAGATGGTGATGGGTGATGACTGTGCGTTTATGTTGTGATGATGTTGGAATAATGTGTTTGGGTGGTATTTGCAGGTAGAAGATCGTTTGTAGGTGGAAGGTTGGACAATGTGAGGTGGTTTTGTGTTGTTGGAATTGAGAGGAAGATGGTTTCTCATAGTGGATTAGTTCAATGAGAGGAAGATGTTGTGACGGTGGTAAAGCAGTCAAGAGATAAAAAACAGACAGAAAAAAAAAGTGAAGAAAGGACAGAAACTGCAAAAGTGAAGAAAGTAAAGAAGACTGCAAAATTGCAGGCAACAGTCACATGTGTGTCAGAATCTAATTTTCAAAAAACTTTTTGCTGAATAATAAAACAAACAATATTTGGATAATATGATAGAGAATATGGTTGCAAATAATGAAACAAACGCAGCCTGTTTAGGAGAATATTTCAATTTAATTTATAAATCTGATTATTTGGGAGTGAAGCTATAGAAATGAGAGGCGTCTGTAATGACAAATATGAGTTGAAAGATAACTTTATCAAGAATCAACGAAATAACATCTAAAGATATCATTACAAATATACATAAGAATGGTGACGTGATGTCGATGAAATGAGATCGGAAAATTTAATATCTCCACCAAAGATGAATAACACAACAAAAATATTGACTGGTTAGGCGTATTAACTAAGTTGTTGAGAGACAAGGACAAGAAGCCCTTGTGGTCCGACTAATATTTCACTAAGAAAATTAACCAATCCAACCCAAACCACCGGAGTAATATCCACCCCTGCAAGGGGTGGAATCAACTTTCGAGTAGGGACGAGAAACGGTTCAGTGGGGGCATAAACTAACACATACGGAAACTTCCCCAAAGGAAGTTTTGGGTACCAGGACATAATTACTCTCAAGATAAATAGAAAAGAAAACGCGGAGAGAACAGGACCTATAATACCAATTGCCAGCTTTGCTGTAGATGGCTCTAAATCTGCCAAAGCCAACTTCTCAATAAGACTTAAGCTGCCACCTGAGATGTCTGTTACAAAATCTAAAACATTATGAGAGTTTCCTGAAATAGCTGCTGCATTGGATGGTGAAGGTTCAATGTGTAGGAAATCTGCAGCTCCCATTGAGTGAAAAAGTGAGATTTTATGGCCTCTACTTGGAATTCTTCTGATAGAACTTGTAAACCTTTCCTGCCACAAGAAAAACACTTAAAAGGCATGGCATTTGTTAAGTGCATTTATATCTATTATTACTCTTATAACACAGCCATTTTAAAACACACAAAAACCAACTGTAACACAAGTAATAAGGTTTTTTTGGCACAAGAGGAGACAAACAGGAAATCTTACGAGTACAGTTTCCCCAATAACTTTTACCAGTGAGTTGTGTGTATATGATTGTTATAATTAAGGGTGAAGCTCTAATTCAGAGGTAAATCTGCAACAGGATAATATTGGAAGCTACTACTTAATCATACCAGACATAAAATTACTGGTATTTGGGCTATATTTAATTATTTATTTTAAATATTATCTATTTAATATCATCATCAACATGTGATATGCTTGTCATATAAAAACAAAATTTCGAAACTTTGATGTGCACCCAATTCATAAAAACTCACAAGTAGTTTAATGACATTTAATATTATCAAGATAATTTTCAATACTGTCATTTAAGATAGAGGAGTTAAACGGGCATCATTATTTATCTAAAACAGAGACAAAAACCCCAAAAGCAATCATAAAATCCTCATTAAGGTAACTGGGAATGTTTAAATCTTTAGAGAACAAAAACAAAATAATAAAATGTGGAGAAAGATTTACTCTTGAATTTAGAGAAAGAAAGGAAAAAAGGCAGCTGGGTACTCACAGAGAGAGTGAAATGTTGGATGGGTATGGGAGGCCACCCTCCTACAAAACAAAAATACTGTGAAATGGGAAGCCAAACAACTAAAAAGCTAACTGAATATTTAGCTTATTAAATCAAAATTACCTTTACTATGAACCATGCTACCGAGATAAACAGAAGTCGCCATTGGAGTCTCTCTGCCTCAATGTTATCCTTCTAATTCTTATCCCATATGATTTGAGGGATAATATCATATTCATCCCTCAGGTTAGGAGAACTTCTTTTGCATCTTGTAAAATCGGAAAGATGCACTACAGTCACTGTCCCTAGGATGTAGTTACCCAAATGTTAGTGCTGACTCGACTTTGGTCGTGAAGAGAAAATAATAACCTTTTATCTTGGTTCACTTACTATCCTTAGAGCATCTCCAAAGCATTCTTTATATGACCCAAACTCTTTATTGTAAAGAGACTATCCATAAAAACAATAGTCCAACATACTTTTTATTTTTAAAATATAAATTAGAGAGTGAGTTTGACTCTCCACATTTGGAGAGTTAAATTTCACTCTCTATCCTAATTTTAAATAAACTACAAGTTCCTATGCATTTTATTTATTAATTCTCTCTTCCATTAAGTCTCTTTCTTCAAAATAAAGAGCATCTTCATTAAATTTAAAGAGTCTATTGGATTTGAATAAAATTATGTTCTTTATATTTAAAAATTAATAAAGATACTCTTTATTTATATGAAATATGCTCTTCAAAATAAAGAGTACCATTGGAGATGCTCTTAGTTTTTCTAAATTGATAGGTACATACTAAGTTTGGCATTTTTCATTCACAAGTCACAACCACCTTGTACTATTAAAATATTATACAAAATCCATCATTGTCATTAGTCTCGTCAAAATTTTGCTTATGGAAGAAGGGTAGGAATATAATTTTACAAATTCACTAGATGACTGCACCATATAAATGTGGCTTAATATTTTTTTTTTTTTATGGGTAAACTTGATAATTATCTCTCCTACGACTCGAATACAAAACCCCATGATATAGCTAACTCCATTGGTTAAAATGTTTGTCATCTGGCCACAAGGGAAAAGGGTAAATGTGGCTTAACTTCCACCCTTGGAACTTGCAATATTGACACTTAGACCCCAAAACCTAAAAAATTGTATAAGGTTTAACAAATTTTATAAGAATTTAAAAATGGGAACCGTTAAATATGAAAAAATAAAAAATTTTGGAAAAGGAAAAAATGAAGAAGAAAAAACTTTCTCTCTGAATAATTCTGAATTATTGTGTCTGAACTTTCAAAGAAGTATCCTTTGACTAAACAAGTGGTAAAAGGTTTTGTCAAAGCTTTAGATTCACATGTGTAACTATCTTTCATACTAATGTATGATATGTTAGTCATGAACCTAAGAACTTCATTTTAGTAATTATGAATTTAACAGACACCTTAATTGAAACAAACTCTTTGATACAGCCACATTTGATCTTGAAACCAACATTTTACCCAAAATTTCACCCAAAATATGCTTTGCCAAAGCATACTGAACCAGAGAATCCAAAGTTTATGTTTCTTTCAAAGTTGAATTATTGAATGAAACTTTTGATAAATTTGAAGAGGTTTCGATGTATTGGATACTTGTCCAAGATCAATCACACCACCACCATTCTTAAGTTTTGAAACTTGACAATATTCATATAGAATCTAGGACAAATATTTATACGAGATCTTCAAAGAATGGGAATTTTTTTTTTTTTTTGATCTACACTTTATACTCTTAGACATGACAGGAGTATGATGGATGGTGTAATGCTAGGTGTAGGCAAATGTTGATGTATGATTTTGACACCAACAACTCACATGTGCAAAATGCTAAGCTGTTCTTAGAAATTACATGTGATGTGATTGATTCAAGAGTCAAGACAAGGTTAATCAATGTTATTATGCAAAGACTAAACAATAAATGAGAGAGATGATTTTTAAAGTGGTTCGGATGCTTAAAGTGATTCCTACGTCCACTGTTTCTTTTATATATAAGAGCTTACAAGAGGTCGCGTATAGCGAGTAGCAAGCAGAGGTACAATAACTGATTATTCAGAGAGAATATCAAGTTAGTCTCTTTCTCATAGATTATCTTTGCTTTGAAAATAAAGATTATAATAGCTGAATTCAAGGTAATGATTACAAATCTGCAAGTGCATAGGTGCCGTACAAATCTTTTTTTGCCTCTCATTGGTTGATAACTTAGGAAATATCCTCAAATTATTTGGGGCTTGGATAGGTGTGCGGCCCTCGTTCACTTATAGACAAAACCTGAATATGCTGGGTTGATGACAGTCGTAATCTTTCTGTCTTGGGGCGACATGACAGCTGTTGAACAGCGCAAAGTCTTTCTAAACTCTGATTGGTGCTTACTGATGTAAGTTTATGTCAGCCTTGATTTTCTAGGCATAACAGCAAATTTGGTGGTTTGGATCATCCATCAACTTATGACACTTTTAGCCATGAATTTTGGTGTGAAGAAAATGACACTTGACGACCTTATAAGTGAATGCGGTAGCCATGGAAAAAAGGGTCAACGTCCGGGTGCTTGATAATGATGGGGCTGATGCTATGTGAGATGAGGGTGAAGTTACCTGGTTGTCTAAGGAGGCGTTATGTGAGAAGACTGAGAATGCTCTTATCGGTAATGGTGGTGCCGTTTCTAAGATGATGGGTTGTAGGTCCCGAGAGTGGAGTAGGTGGAGGTAGTGTTGTGGCTAGTGATACTAAGAGGAGTTTGTTGGTTGATTCTAGTTTGATTTCTAATGTTGTCCATGGCAAGCGACGGATGGTATTAACATGCTGAAGGGAAGTAGTTCCGGTGGAATGCGTGAGACTCGTGAGGTTAAGGTTGAGATTGAGGATGACAAGGAGGCAAAGCCGAAAAATGATCCTAATCCCGATCAGTGGAGGAACCTATTCTTTTCTAAGAAAACCAATGTGGCGTTAGAATACTTCAAACCGAATATGAACAAAGAAGGAACCAAGATTCGAGTTTCTCCTCCTGAGGAGGTTGCGGCCATGGGAGTTGACAAATAGCACAATTGCCTTGTAGGCTCATTTTTGGGAAAGAAATTGTCTTTTTACTTAATGAAGAACTTTGTTGACAGAAATTGGAAGAAGTATGAAAAGGTTGGAGTGATCTCTAATGAACAAAGGGGTTATCTACTCGAGTTTTCGGATGAGGTGACTAGTATGAAGTGCTTGAGAGTGGCTCTTGGTTTATTGGTGGCCAACCACTTTTCTTGAGAAAACGGGGCCTAATACGAATTCTCGCATTGAGGGGGTGACGAGGGTTCTTATTTGGGCCAAATTCTATGGGATACCGTTGGAATTTTGGACGCATAAGGGATTGGGTTATATTGCAAGCGCCGTGGGTTTCCGCTTCACATGGACAACATCACTAAGGCTGGAGTATGCAAGAGTTTGTATAGAAATGGACTCAACATCGGGATTTAAAGAAGATTTTGAGCTTGAATTGCTAAATGGTGAGGTGATAAACATCAAAGTGGAGTATGCATGGAAACCTATCACGTGCTCTTGTTGTAAGGACTTTGGCCACATTCAAAAGGATTGTGTTCATGCGCCTAAGGACAATACCCCGGTGGTACCCTTCAAGAAAGCCCCAAAAGCTCAAGAATGCAGACAAGTCATCAATAGAAAGAATATTGTTGTCTGTTGAGAAGGAGTTGCATAATGATGTAAAGCTTGATGAGGTTAGTAATTCTTGTGTTAATAAGAATCATTTTGCTATATTGTCCTTGGATTGTATGGATGAGTCGGGGAATAGTGGAGCAAATAGGGATGATGGCGATAAGGGGAAAAGGAGGATCCCATGGGTCATTCGGGGAGTGTTGGGGCACTAGAAAATAAGATTGAATTCGGGTCTGAGGATTTTAGTGGTGTGGTTGTGTGTGAGGGAAACATTTGCCGAGAGGAGGAATCCCCACCAACTAAGCCTATTCCTATTAACAAATCTGAGGAGATAGAGATGGGATCAAGTTCTCCTGCCGTTAAGCGATTTGGAAACTTATTAAGGGTGGCTGAAAAGGAGAAAATGGAGAAGCGGAATGGGAGTATAACTAAGAACCAAAAGATGAGATTTGCCAAAAAGGTAAAGTCTTCATCCAACTCTTTGCCGTCCAATGGTTAAGCTTGCCGCGTGGAACTTAAGGGGTCTTAATTCCCCTTTAAAGCAAAAAGAGATTAGAAACTTGATTAGCAATAATAAACTAAGTCTGTGTCCTATTTTGGAGACTAAGGTTGAAGAGAGCAACATAGATAAAGTTAGTAAATTGGTGTTTCACAATTGGGCCATGGTTGAGAATTGTCGTGCATGTGATAGGGTGAGGATTTGTGTTGGGTGGGATGTGGACATTATGCGAGTTCAAATGCTCCACTGTACGGATCAAGCTATTCTTTGTCAAGTTTGGGTCCCAAAAAAAAAACTCAAAGTTCTTTTGCTCTATTGTCTATGGGCTTAATAGTTTTGGAGACAGGAAAAAGCTTTGGAAGAAATTGAGTCTTCATGCTAAGATTAGTTCCCGTGAACCTTGGGTTATTATGGGTGATATCAATGCCATAAGATTTGTTGGGGAAAAGAAGGGAGGTTCTAATAAATGGAATCTGCAATGTGAGGAGGTAAATGACATGGATAAGGAAGTTGAAATTGATGATCTCAATGCCATTAGAACCTACTTTACTTGGAATAACAAATGAAAGCTTAATATGAGGATTTAGTGCAAGCTTTTAATGAGTATTGAAGTCTGGTTTTTCCAATTTTTTTCCTTCTTTTATTACTCTGGGCATTTTTTACCATTGTCCAATGGTGGTCGATAGTGGGTTGAATCTTTAAGCTAGGAAATCTCCTTTCAAGTTTTTCAATTTTTGGGTGGAACATGAGAATTTTTAACCTAAGGTGGCAAGAGTGTGGAGTATGGAAGTCAAGGGTAATCCGATGTATAGGGTGGTCTCTCTAAGTTAAAAGATTTGAAATTTGAGCTTAAGAAACTTAATAGAAAGGAGTTTTGGAACATTTCAGAAAGAGTCAAATTTGCAAGAGAAGATCTTACTCAAGTTCAAGAAAGGCTTAATGAGGATCCGACTGACGATGTCTTTTTGTAAGAGGAGAAAGATAAGGTGGCAAAGTTGGTCA